TATACACTCTAATTTCTATTGTTTACAACCCCCATACTTATATCTATATATATTGTGGCCTATAAGCTTGGATAGCTCACCCTGTCACAGGCTCATGATCATGTAATTGATAGGAGGTGGACGTATTGAAGAGTTGATCAATGCGGGAGTTCCATTTCGATCGATTATATGCCATGTACCAAAATATAATATATATATATATATATACCTCTATTTGCACCAAAAAAGTTTACTTATATGACAAAAATCACTTATATGATATATGTCACAGTAGTCACATGATGCTGATTGTGGTAACATATTACACTGTATGACAGGAGGGGGAGGGGGGACCCCGGAGGGTCAGAAAACAACTTTTTGACCCTATATCCATGATTCAAAAGTTGAACCCCCCTTGCCCACTAGGACCAAGCTCAAGTGGTCACAGGAGGCAAGGAACACGTCACAATAGGATCAACCCCTGTCAGCACAGGAAGCCCCACAAGAGGACAGGCCAGGTGTTATTCATGACATTAACCCCAGCCTTGGGGTATGGGACCCTTAAAACACAATTAGGTGGCATCACTGCTAGCATTGGTAGGTCAGCTAGGACACTTGATCAGAGGTTCTGCAGTATGTTCAGTAAAGTAATCCTAAGTGATGACTGGTATTGAACTTCCAGGAGTCATGTATTGTTTGATGGAGTTGCTTGGGAGTTACTGTATATAATAATATATGATATTAGAGATGTTGCACCACGACCATTGAATAGCTCCAATGGCTGCATTTTGTGGCCTGTTTGGGACCAAATTTTGAGGGTAGAACAGATTACCTTATTATATAATGCCCGACTGGTCGCCAGGGTGGATGATGGGCAGTAACGGGTAACAAGTCCTTACGGTTTGCCTGTCAGGGGAACCCCTGCGTTGGCCTCCTTCGGACCGTCCAAGCGCATCCAAGGCGCATCCGACCGGCGCCCCCTCCGACACTCCAACCTACCCTGACCCTCAGCCTCAGCCTCCTTCGCCTGCACAATCACCGATCCGTCAAGACTCTCCCAACAATCACCATGTTCTAGGTTACAACCTAAGTTGGCTAAAAAAGCTGTATAACATGATCACACCTAATTGGGCTACAAAGCTGCAAATGATATCTTGCACCCAGAAGCATGAAAGGTCATATATAAGGTCATTGAAGTGTGTAATTACCATATAGAAAATATAATGTAGACCAGAGGTTTCAAAAGGTCATCACGCACTGTGTGCCTAAGAAATCTGAACCCCCCCCCCCCATTGAGCAAAACCGTGTGACATGCGAAGGTTTTGAATTTTATAGCCGGTGTGAGTACAAACTGGGAAGAATACTACTATAGTACTAGAAAGAAATTAGAGACAACGCAAAATTTAACTAACAGCTTTGCTTCAACTATATGTTTCAACTTCATATAGACTTAGGACTCCAATCATTTAGTTTTCATTTGTCATAATCCTAAATCAAATTAAAACTATTATAAAACACTTTTTTTTATTTTTGGAAGGATAATTCTCTAAGAAGATATGAAGGACAAATAAATTTGAGTAATTCCTCCAAGGCCACACCACATTGCCAAACAATATTAATTCTCCATATGATATCCTCTAAAATAGCTACATTACTAACATTAGGCAATAATATTATTGAGAAATTCAAAAATATCCTGATAGTGAGTTTTCTATCTATATAAAACTGTGATATATATGTTGTTGAAACAACAACTCAGGTCTCATACTAACTATAATGAGATATTGACCACTTTGATTCACAACGGCGTTATATCAGTAATGACTGATGTCCACCCGCTAGAGTCTTCTTAGTGGATACAGGCATTGTACAGGGTTTAATGAGCAAGAATCCTGCAAGATACTGTGGAGAGTTACTATAAGTCTCAGAGTTTTATACCGTTATGAATCCCCAACCCTAGCAAAGACACTCAAAGTGAGTACCTCACACTGGCTCACAGAGTTAATGTTTGAATCGTTTATCTTCATTTGTTTATTGTTTGCTAGTCAGCCAGACAAAATGAATATTTAAACATCATCGCTTACAAATGATTTCAAACTAAAATGATTGAAGACCTATATAGACTTCAACTACATGTTTATCAAACACAACTAAGGTCCAAGACAACATTTCATCTGCAAGTGAAGGCAATTTTATCATTGTCAAATTGTAAAAAGACACAAATGAGCTTTTAGATTAAAACTTCTCACTGTCTTCATCATAGAATACGGTGACATGTGCTGGCTTGAGTTTCTTTTTCCCGGCATGAACTTGAAGGAATAAATTAAAAAAGAAGCTGTTATCAGCTTGCAAATAGTACAGTCTTCCCCATTGGATTGACGCGCAAAGTAAGATTGGAGTCATCTATGGGCACGATCTCAGCCGCGACCTACATCAGCGCCCCTGATCTTGAGTAGGAAACAGAACCATGCAGCACTTGATACATGTTGATGTCGATGTTCGAGCTCGACACAGGCAGGTTCTACCGTCATTCCCGCGTCAGACAGTGCAGTGGACACAGCCCTGTTCATCTCTGCCAGTGGATCTGGGGCCTGGCCAGTGGCGTCCGCCGCCAAACACGACGAGATGATAAGTAAAGCGAGTGGTAGCATCCTGTAGCTCGCAGCGCTGTGTCTACGCTGCATGAGTAAGTTGTAAGCGGTCGTTGCGCCGGGAAAATGCTCACCGGCCAGACAGATTTCTGCCCCCTCCCAATCCCCACCAGCCACCCGCGTATCCCGCGAGAAAGCCCCAGCGTCGCATGGCGTGCGATCCCCCGCCCGACTCCAACGCACCCGGAGGCTGCCAGCACTGAGCAGCCGCGCGCAAAATAGGCCCCCCTCGGAGGCTGAGCAAGCCACAGTGACGCCGGCCGCGGCATGCGCTCACCGGTGACGCAGCGCTTCGCGGGCTAAAATGGCGCCCCTCGCAAACCTCGATTCTGAATCGCGATGCCCCCGCGTCGCTGAGGCCGACCCCAACGAGGATCGATCGCCCGGCGTCCGACGGGAGGCGTTTCCTCGGAATAACTGCGCTCCTGGCATAATGGAGTGCACACTGATGAACGATGCCTGCCGGGGCGTGCATGCAGGGGCGTTGCTTCACCCCCCAACGGGTATGTTACACGCGGGGAGGCAAGGACTGCATGCCAGTGGTGATCGCTGCCAGTCGCCAGATCTTGATCTCCGGGCTTGCTTTGTACCAGAATAGCGCTGATGCTCCCGACGGGCGTGAGACGGCCCAGGAAGGATTTGACTCTGTGGTGGAGGCCTGGCTCGGCGGTCGCCGCGCACAGAGACCAGGAATAGCATGATATCGAGGAGGACGCACGAAGCCCACGCTTAAACTCCGTCACACGCGTACAGCGCGCTTCTTTGGGTCCCATTAGCAGGGGTGCTAGCGGGCAGGAGGGAAGGGAGAAAATCTTCCCGGTGCTGCCATAGCGCATTAAATGGAGGACGCCAGCGCGGCCGCTGCGGGAATTCCGAGGCAGGGTGCCATAAGCCGTGTGCAGTGGTTGGCCCAGCGGGCAGGCCAAGCCAACTTGAAGATGTCGGAAGAACCAGGGCACGACAGCGGTCCCAGGCGTGCGCTTCCCTGCGCGCTTCCATCAGTTGCAGACCAAACGCCCTGTCACCGCGAGATGGGGTACAGCTGCCACTGGCAGCGATCCACAGCGTTGGTGTGGGTGGGCATCGCCCGTCATGGCTCTGGTCTTCAGCTTCGTCCGATGGTCGGGCTCGAGGGCTTCGCGAGTCCTCTCGGCGTGCGTATTGCGCCTTCGCGTGCTTCTCTTCCTGTCTCTTCCACTATGATTGGCAGGATGGGCGATGGCGAGAGGATTAGTCGCGAGCGTGAGCGAAGTGGAGTCAATGCGCATGCAACGCTGCCCGGCCGTGAGAAGGGTGAATAAGAGGGATTGCGCAAGACTGCGGCACGACTGTCAGCGGTGAACGAGACGGACCAAGGTTGGTCGGCGCCATGCAGGCCGCTTATAGCAACCCAATGACAGGGTGGTCTCCGCTCGCCGATCTGCGCATCCGGCAGGGATCAGAGCGTATCACGCAGATGGGCCACGCGACGTCGAGGGCAACTGATTGCCTTGGCTGTCAACTCCACGGAAGCCGTTTTTCTTTCACGTCGGCGTTGCCCGTCGGAGAGACGGTGCGTGGGCTCGTCTTGTCCGGCGGGAGAGCGGGGCCCGTCAACTCGGTGTCGCTCCGGACCCCGGCGATGAACAAAGGCGGTCGGCGCGAAAGTTGAAGGGCTTCTGATTGTCGCCAGGGATGTCCTACTCGGAGACGTCACCGAGGAACGTTGGCAGGGCCTAGATAGCGAGAGAAAGCAAGCGCAAGGGGTGCCTTATCGATACTATCTTCGCAGTCGTCATACCTGCGCTATGGGCGGCCGGGCCCTGACGCTCGTATTGATTGCAGCGATAAGCCTGTCCGTTTTGCCGCATGAAGACGCGGAGGGTCCGTCCCGAGAGCCGATCAGGATGCGCGAAGAGAAAAACTGCGCAGAGGGGCGGAGGTGCCAGCGTGGCAGCGCGACACGGGCTTTGCGGCGTCCGTTGACGGGCGGAACGGCATGGCGAGGACGACGAGATGACTGGGTGGCCCTAGCAACGGGCTGCGAGCGCTAGGTGAGTTGTCGGAACAACCAGCGAGCCCACAGGAGAGGTGCACCCTCGAGCCATATCTGCCCCACGAATCTTCGACGCAGAATGCACCCCCGTTGGTGCGGGTGAGCCTAGACCGGAGTGTGGGTGCCACTCACAGGGCAAACAGCCTTCGATGGAGCGACCCCGTCTAAAGGGAGATGAGCGGGAGGTGAAAGCTCGGCAAAATGCATCGCATCACCATGGGGGAATGATGGCGTGACGCGTGACGCTTCCCACGCGCGAGCCTGAAAAGCTACTTCGATGTCACTGGCGCAGACTCCCTCCCTACCCACCCCGTTGACCCACCCACCCCCAACCTATGGCCGCGTACTTCCAGGCACCCACTGCTTACTCGCGCACCGCTCTGCCGCCGCTCGCCGCTGTTTCCGCCCCGCAGCACCTCGTTCCACCGAGCGACACCAGCGGCACGATCATGGCCATTACTGGGGTGGGCTTCACTGTCATCGCGGGCGACGCACGCAGGGGTGACGCGTTCGGGGCCTATCCCCAGGTCAGATTCGTGCCTACGGTCTTCCGTCTGTGCGTTTCCCCTATCGCAACCGCGTCATTGGCTATTCGCGACTGACGGACGTTGTAGGACAGATAAGGCGGTGCTAGCGACCAATGGGTTTGCGTCTGATGGCAACATCTTCATTAAGAAGGTCCGCCAGCGCCTAGATGTGAGTTTTCCTTCTCGTTTTCGAAAACCTTAATCCCTGCGACCGGGGCCTATTCGCACTTGCGCTAATCTGCAATCATATCGCCCAGTGGTATCGCCATGCACACGCCAAAGACATGTCGCTGCACGCGATCGCCCTGCTGATCCAGTCAATGCTCTATCAACGGCGCTTCTGCCCTTTCTACGTCCACAATATCCTCGGCGGTATCGAAGACGACGGTAAGCAACTTAATACGCAATTCAATACGACGCACCAAGCTAATCACGCGACCCTCTAGGCTCGGGGGCGGTATACTCCTTCGACGAGGTCGGATCTTACGTGCGCGAAACATGTCGCGCCGCCGGGTCGGCATCGACGATGCTGCAGCCCTTCTTGGACAGCCAGGTCAGTCTGAAACGCCCCCACTCCGCATCGCGTGCCCTGCGATATTCCCATTGCCCCGCGCCGTGTGACGGCTGACGTCGAACACGATGCGTCCACAACCGACCCTTCACCGGGGTTCTTCCCCGATGCTTCTCGCATTCAAACCCGCTGACCGTCCGTTGCAGATATACCCCAAATCCAGCCAGCCACCTACGCCAGGCAGCGCAACGCATCTCTCCCTCGCGCGCGTGCTCGCGCTCGTGATGGACTCCTACAAACACGCCGCAGACCGCCTAAGCCACGATCAGGTGAGCAGTTGATAGCCCTCCCCCCTTGGTTTCTCTTTATCGTATTATTCCGCTTGCGAGCGTCATCTGACAGTGCTCACCCGTCCTTAGATCGGCGACGGGCTCGAAGTCTACATCGTGCTCTCCAAGGGCACTTCCACGCAGGGCCTCAACATCGAGGGTGTGTCCGAGGTGACCAGCATCCCGGGCGGCGAGCGCATATTCCTCCTCCGCAGATCCCTGGCTTGAGGGACATCAGCTTTTTTGTTATTATATATTACCCTAGACTCCGCTTCGTTCTTGATACTGATATGGCGTTCATCGGCGCGCCGGCTTGGGACTTTGTACTTGTGTGGCTGCTGCGGTCGTGTCTTGTAATATGTATGTACTTGCGGTCGGATATTTGCAACTTAGACGGTTGGCTCTATTGAAAACCTATCAGTAACGAATTTCTCTTCCATCATTACACTCACGTCCACCACGGCGGCCTATCCACCGAGTCCCTTTCCATCGCTATCTCCTGGCGCCGAATATAGCCTCCTTCCTCTTCCAACCATTCAGTCTATTTCGAGGACAAAGATCGCCTCCACGCACCGGAGTGCCTTCGTCCCCGGTCCCGAGCAACGCCACGTCCCCACGCGGGTGGGTCTGCTGAGCAGCGTTCTCTCCCCGGAGTTGGCCATTGGCAGGCATGACTGACAGCGAGCTGTCTAGTGCTGTGCGACCGGTGCCGAGCCGAGGTAGGTCCACGGTGTCACAAGACACAGCACGCTGCCGCATCGGCGGAAAGATACATCGGATGCTCGTCAGTTCGTACCATAGGCCAACGTCAATGATTCCTACTGAATTTCTCATTGGTCCCGCAACGACGATGTGCCCTGCCTGGAGCCTGCACAGTTTCCTTCGGAGACCATATCAGTTGCCAAATCTTGCAAGACATGAAGAGCGACCTTGAATGTGAAATACGACATAACAGACACAAATGTCGACGGATGCATGTGGTTCAGGCCTCTTTCCTGTCAGTCTGGAAGTAATGGATGAGTTGTGGAGAGTTGTTGGACTTACCACGGATTGCTTTCATGATTTTCGCGACCTGTCGCTACTTAGATCGACATTGTAAGAGTGCAAAATCGCGTTATGGATATGGTGTACGCAATCCGAGAGATTGAGTCTGCGTTCTTGAACAGGTAGCGAGCTGCGTTTTTCGTTCACCAACTACAATGTCGGAAAACAAAATAGCACAAGCAAACGAGAGAGAACACATACGGGGAAAATAGATTCAGAAACCCACTGTCGAAGGAGTACGGGATCCACGACGCCGTTTTGAGCGTCGCAATTTGATTTTCACGGAGTTGCGCAGCTCAGCGGGAGTCAGCAGATTAACAAACCCAGTCCGATGGAATCTGGTACTGGGAGTTGAGGGTTTGAAAGATCCGATCCCATGTGGGTTGACGAAGCAAATTCCACCAGTGCTCATGTCCGCAGGATCCCATGCGCTCCATCGCTATGCTGTCTGGGAGAATCACGCCCGGTTAAGCCGAGTGGGGAATGGCATGGGAGAACGAATGGTGGATTTATTTTCTACGATGACAGGGCTCCAAACGCCATATGGAACGTCTAATGCGCGTTGTTCTTGTGGTGCTCTAGCGAGAATAAGCGGGGGAAGCAGGAAAGGGCAGCACACGCACTGAGATGAACTGGGGAGAGAGAGAAGAGTGGTTGAAAAGAGGGTGGAGGAAGGAGAGAGTATGTCAGCGTCGTCGTCGTTGAGGAGGGAATATAGCACGCACGTTGGTAGTCCAGCGTATACCCCATCAGCCACAGCCCGCCAATCAGCGCCAGTACCGGCTTCGCGCTGGCGTTCTTCCCACTGAACCAGCGCCCCTTGACTCCCGCCACCGCAGGCGCCGGCGCGCGGCCCTTCGGGAGCTTGGAGTAGAATGACACGAGGGGCCCGAGCGGGCCAGCGGAGTCGCCCGACTGGTGACGTGTCAGTTAACACAGCGGATGGGGTGTGTAGGGGACGCACAACGAGCCTGGGGGTGGCAATTTTGGGCGGGACGAGCCCGCCGAGGGAGCGACGGATGAGGGAGGCGTGCATGGGGCTGCGGTGATGACCGGAGGAGGAAAGTGATGGAAGAAACACGTGGTGATCGATTTTTTCTTCTTCACACGTCATCCTTCCTTTCGATTCTTCCTTAGATTCTTCCTCAACCTGGCGCAAGCGGTGGCCAGGTCCGCGGTCGTTCAGACGGGTAAGCCCGTGCGGTACTGTCGAGCGAGCCCTCTCCAGCGAAGAAGCCTCATTGAACCCCGGGCTGCAGACATCGAATGGTGGACTGCTGGTCGAAAACTGTTCTTCTTGGCGCAGGCGGTGGCCCACCTTCGACAGCAGATATTCAAAGACATGCCGATTGATACAGCTTTCCATCTCTGTGGACGCGCCTCGTTGCGCGTGCGATGATTCCCCTCATTTCTTCTCACTCATCGATCCGACCGGGTCTCCGTGCCGACACAGCCTTGCGCTCTTTGCCTCTCCATCCCATCGATCGACCACTCTCCTGCGCACTGGCAATGTCTTCTAACCCCAGCGACCTCAAGACAGAGAAAGGGCACGGCCAGCCAGCGCCAGCGGAGGTCGTCGTCCGGCGCTCGTTCTTGTACGTCGATAGCACAGATGTGGGCTGATTTCGCTGACCCACGCCCAGCGGCCTCAAGAGTTCCTTCTTCGCGAAAAGCAAGAACAGCGTCGTCCAGGGCGGGACGTTCATCGTCGACAATCGCACCTTTTTCACGATGCCGCTGCGCAAGCCCAAGATCGGTGCGTGCTGCATTGGCCGACATTGTCTAGTTGCTGATCTATGTTAATGCAGATAAGAAGTTCAATATCGAGGTACGCCGCTCCTCTGTGTCGCCTCTGAACTCATCACCTATTACCGTCTAGCAAGTCGAACAATCCCGCGTCGAGCTGTTGAGGGAGATCATCGTTCGAAAGCGGACGCGCTTGCATTGGGCTAATTTCGATGGCCGTGCCGTGGTGGTACGGGTATTTGAAGGGCCGCGTGCAGTCAAGGTCTCTTTGATCTATTACTCTTGTTTTATGGACATTGAATTCGAACTAACTCTCTTCCAGCGCCGAGACCGTGATATAGAGCTCAATGCAGATCTCTTGTATGCCATCGCTGCTTCATAAAATGTCGGCACTGACACTGTTAGCCATCCCAACCATCTACGTATCATCGCAGCCTCGTCAAAGAAGACCACAAAACCATTTGTCATTTATCAAGGAGGTTTGTTGGATTTCCTTTATAACATGGTAAATCAAAGTGATTATGTTTTAATAGATCTCAGAACAAATGCTGCCCACAAAGTTACCCATTTCCTACGCGGGGAACTAGGAAAGACACTTGTTGCCTCCTGGACCATGGTTTGGCTCTTGTATCAATATTTGTGTGAAGAGTGACTGAATGGTCATCCAGGCCTTGGATATTGTAGTATTGGCCTCTGTCTAGTAACCTTGATCACTCTTGGTTAATCACTTACTAGGCCGCTGTTCAGTATCTACACAGCAAACCCTCCATTTTTGCTCAGCTGTGCCCAGCAGTAAGTGAGAATATTAAGCACTAGCACACAATTGATATAATTTGATAATCCTAGAATATTGATGTTCTTTTGGATGTATTTGGAAATGTTCGGCTGTCTTTAACAGCTGGAGCAACGGAGCGCCATCACTTTTGGCATAAGCGAAAAGTTGCCACAATCAAACGCAAAGCAGAGGTGATTGTATATGATTCATTGATATATCGTGTAAGCTCTGCATTGTCCCAGTATAGGGTTTGCTCATATGATAATAAGGTTTTCCAACAGGCACACAGTCAAATTTATGGTATAGACATCTCATCTAGTTTTCTACTCCAATAACTTGCCTCAGGGGATTGTATGGCAAAGGACCCTGTCCGTTTCATAACATTTGAAGCACATCTTCGATCCAAAGGACTATACCAGGCCGGTTTTCTACCAAGTCAACGACTTCCTCGTTATGGCCTCCGTAGGACAATTGAATGGGAGGCAAGCCCACCGCTGTGGACACTCCAAGACATTATGAATGGTCTACATGCACAAATAGAACCGCTGAAAGGAGTTGAAGAGAAGGATATGCCAGTGTATAAGTTTACCCACAATGCTTGGTATAATGTGGGCTCCCAGGTCCATCGATGCCCAGCATATCATCGGGAAGAGATTTACCTTGCTGCTGACTTTGCACATACAAACATGATCACGGAGGATTTTCCGGCCCTGAATGAACGCTGTGTTGTATGCCATCAAGTGGTTAAAGCACCTGGACAATCACTCTGTATGGAATCTCAAAAGAAGGAAAATCATTAATGATTTCTTTAGGTCAGAGGACACCCTTTGATGGACATCTGTCTGTTTATACTATAGATGACTACTTTGTGCATCATGAGGATGGATGGTCAGATGATCTGGCACACCAGCATCCATTTGGTAAAATACTGCCTGAAAGTGAAGAAGAGGAGGCATGGGAAAATTTTGTCTATATTGTGAAAAAATCTCGGGGTCTTGCTACTGAGGAGGATCATGCTGCATGGAAAGCGGCACTCTCAGATGCAGAAAAAGATTTTCCCAGAGTCCGTTGGCATGCATGATTACTGTTGAAATTTATAAGTTTTATGTTTCTTATTGGCTGGCGGCCAACATGTCCCAGGATGACTTGGATAAGCACTATGAGAGATACTGCAACTAGAAGTGCACTCTGGCCTTAAAATCAAGGTCAGTAACTGTCTCTGGCTGGATGTCTCTAATTTCCAAGCCTGGAGAAGTTGAAGCATTGAGGATATTTATGTCACAAACAGAGCTGGATCAAATGATGGGTCAACTGAATAAGTAATTAAGTGATGACTTTGTAGAACAAAGTAAAGGGAGGACTTGTGAAATGGGTAGGAGTCTGTGACTAGTGTGATAGACTCCCCAACAGGTACGGGTATTCAGTGTAATCAATGAGAATAAAAGTTTAAAGAACTAGTTTATAGGATATCTAGCAGGCTACTTATATCCTGTCTGCACCTGTGACGACACATACTAGTGTAACAGGTGTCAGACTCAACGAGACTGTGAGTAGCTATTTCAATATGATACTTGTCACACCCAGTTCTTCTCTGGATACCACATGTGGCTTGGCTTTGGACCCAATATAGCATATCCAGTGTATGATCCAAAATTTTACCTAATACTGCATAGTGGTGCCCAAATGCCAAGTTGAGGCTAAGATTTGGTTGGTCACCAAGTCTCACATGCTGAGGCAGTTTTGACACCTGTTCTGAGCCCATTTTGGGGTCATTTCTGGAACCCCCATTTGGCTCCACCTGTGTCACAGGCAGTCTTCTCCAAACCATTGATGCACTGCTGATGTGACTGAGAGTGTGAGCTACACCACACATGGTGCTACCAAACATTCTGAGGGCTGAGCTGCTGGTATATATTGGCTATCCCCAGCACTCCCAGCAATCCCAGCACTATGCAAGTAAGTTCACGTCATGCACTGTGGCATCATCTGCATCAAATGTGTTCACACGCACAACAGTGACTGTCTGAGTCCTTGGGTGCAGCCCCAGAACTCAGTCTGACTCGCCCTCGAAGTTATCTCATTTTATTGCTAGTTTCTAAGCACACTGTATTCCCTAGTTCATCAGGAACAGACAACTTTGCAATCATGTGCTAGGTAGATTTGATAGCCGTGGTAGCACGGTAGACAAGTCCCGTGATCTCGGGCGCTTGGTAGCAACCTGCCAACATATGGTAGCAGTTAGTAGCAATTCAGTGACACCTCAGTAGCGAGTGGTAGTGGGTTATTGCACAACAGCAATACTTGCATTTCTATTCAACTTGCACATATAAAAGAGGTCGAATAATTACATTGCTACTACTCGATACATAGGATACACTAAATACATAAGACATTGGGGATAAGAATGGATGAAGACAGAAAGAGGACCAGATTTCGGCATGAGATGTGGTGTACTTACCTTTATCCAGAAGGCTGTGCATCACAAGCGAGCGGCAAGATGTTCCCCGCGGCTCGGAAGCACAATGACGTGGTGAAGGGGCAGTGACGTACCGGGTAAGGCCAGCGAGAGGTGAGCAATGGGTGGGCCTTCCCCAGGCAGAAATGGCGGTTTCATCGGATTGGCATGGTCAATTTGGCTAGAAATCGGTGAGCAGGTTGCAGCAAGGTGGGGCACGACGCGTATCAAGTATTGTACAATTTGGTGGAGGGGGAGCCAAGTTCTAGGCGGGACAACATTCTCCTAGGTGAGAGAGAGGAGACACAGACAACAGCAAGGTCGGCTGTGCTGGGACTCAGGTGAGTAGCTCTCGACACAAAAACATGACTCTTCGTACCAATTTTCACCCAGCACCATCCACTCTCGAGTGCTCAGTATGAAGCTGAGGAAGTGTTGAAGGACAGTGGGGCAGCATGAGCTTAGTGGTAGCAAGCGGTGAAACTCTAGGCTACACACTGGACGGGGGGGGGGGGAAGAAGAGGGAAGAGACAAGAGGGCGACAAAAAATGATGCCATCTTTAAGAGCACAGCAACCATCAAGCAGCAAACTGCGGCATCACACCAAGCAATGACATCATTTGATTTGGGGACTTAGCGGAAATTTCGGACTCTCAGGCCAATACTGATTCAAAGCAGTAGTTTGCTTGAGTTATCTCTATAGTTCTGGTGATCTTCCTTTGTTCATAAGCCATACACATAATATTGATCATCTCTAGTTCAAACAACCATGTTCTGTCTATCAACAGCTACCAAGCTAATGGAGTGATGCTATCAAACACTACCACATGCTACTGCACTATCTGTCCTTGCTACAACAGCTACTATGCCTACAGGTGCTACTGTGCATTGGCATGAAGCAAGGTAGCAAATAATACTTTCCTGATGTTATTAAAAGTTTCTTAGCCCCCCACATCCATGATCTGAGTTCTGCTATTTCTGATATGTCTGCCCAATCCAGACCCTTACTATTTACCCATATTATCCCATCCTGCCCTCCAAGTCCTGAGTATAGACTCCCCCCTTGCATTTTACGTTACTGGGAGCTGTGTGGCTTACCATTTTTGGGTTAGCTCATACTCTCAAGCTCGTTTGCAGTGCATTATCTGCATTTAAGCCCTTTCCACTATGGTGGTTGTCTTGCTCTGTCACGGATAAGACTCGGCCCATCTGCTCTGGCACTGGTGTCGGGTTGTCACGGGCCTGCAACATGCAGCACATGATGACGGGGAACAGGCGCCCCAGTAGGAGGAACACACACCTGGGAATCACATGACTGAGAACAACATGTTGAGCCATTGCCGAGACCAACTCAACACCAGGGGATTGAGAGGGCTAATCTGCGGCGAGGCTGAATATTTCCTGCTTGCTTATGCAAGATTATCTAATCCTGATTGCCACGTGTTGCACCTTGTGCATGTTATTTCATCATGTGTCATATTGTGGCGGGGAGGTATCCGGAAGGGTGATGGCAGCAGCCTCTGGAGCTGTCTTCCCACCCAGACTAGCATTGATAGCCGTATTTAGTGGATGCCCGCCATTAGCCCAAGTCCCTATAGTTAGAGGGTTATAGTACCCTACTCTATCCCTCTGACTAGAGGGTATTAGGATGCACTATAGGTGGGTTGGGTGCTAGCCATCCTTCCTTTCCCCGTTGCTTCCGTTCCATAATCTCTCTCCCTTCCCCTTTGCTTTTGTTGGCTTTCTCATTTCCCTGTAAGGGCAACCCGGAGGCCTGAGATCAAGGTCCTAGCAGGGGAGGATCCAAAGCGTGAACATTGGTAAGCAAATACAAATGAAGCTGACCTAGCAGGGGAGGATCCAAAGAGAAGAAACTCTAAGGGTCCGCCTGCTAGGGAGCTGACTATATACTGCTTGTCCGTAGCTGCCACTGTCGGGCACAGAAGGCTTGGGCGGCGTCGCAGGCAAGGTCCCAGGGCGACCGTTGGGAGGGCGTTGACGGATCGGTGATTGTGCGGGCGAGATGGAGGGCCGGACCGGAGACGGAACCGGAATCGGACCGGAATCGGAGGCGTCTCCGAGGGGCCGAAAGGGAGGTTCCCCTGACATCACCCCCCCCTTTGAATGCGGCGTCCCGACGCATAGACCGGAACGGAATCGAGTCGAAGGTCGCGGAGGCGATGTGCCGTGGTTTGCCAGGGTACTTACGGTAGAACTCCGCGATTTTCTCCGGGGCGAAGACGCGGTCGAAGCGGACCCACTGGTCGTGCGACGCGTCGTAGCCTTTCCATCTGACGAAGTAATTCAGCCGTTTATACCTCACCCTTGCGTCCAAGATTTCCTCTACTTCCCACTCCGGGACTCCGTCCTCAAGGTCCGGAGGGGGCTGGTCGTAGCCGGGACGTCCGTTGAAGGGGTCGTCTTGGGCGAGCTCAAGCTTGACGACGGGGAAGACCGGGTGGAGCTTCGAGTAACGCGGAGGGAGGTCGAGCTTGTAGGCACCTTTGCTGATCTCTACTGCGTCGACCGTCGTATGACACTCGGAGAAGTGGGCGCGCTTTCCGCGTTATCGTGTTGTACCCATGGAAGTATGTCTCCGACCGTGGCTCACAGTTCATCGCGGACTTCACCCGAGAACTCTGGCGTCTGATCGGCATCAAGCCAGCCACGTCGCGAAAATCGCGGAGTTCTACCGTAAGTACCCTGGCAAACCACGGCACATCGCCTCCGCGACCTTCGACTTGATTCCGTTCCGGTCTATGCGTCGGGACGCCGCATTCAAAGGGGGGGGTGATGTCAGGGGAACCTCCCTTTCGGCCCCTCGGAGACGCCTCCGATTCCGGTCCGATTCCGGTTCCGTCTCCAGTCCGGCCCTCCATCTCGCCCGCACAATCACCGATCCGTCAACGCCCTCCCAACGGTCGCCCTGGGACCTTGCCTGCGACGCCGCCCAAGCCTTCTGTGCCCGACAGTGGCAGCTACGGACAAGCAGTATATAGTCAGCTCCCTAGCAGGCGGACCCTTAGAGTTTCTTCTCTTTGGATCCTCCCCTGCTAGGTCAGCTTCATTTGTATTTGCTTACCAATGTTCACGCTTTGGATCCTCCCCTGCTAGGACCTTGATCTCAGGCCTCCGGGGTTGCCCTTACAGACTGCTTTGATCCACAACATGGTTCTCGTTACTAATGGCGAGTCTGAACGCAGGCATTGTACTGTTGAAATGGAGGATGGTGAACACAAGCCATCGCCGAGGTGATGACGTCAGCACCGATCCCGCCATCACCGACGCACGACGCGTAGGGAATATTTGTCAGGGGAACCCCCGATTCAGCCTCCTTCGGATCATCCGAACGCATCCGAGGCGCATCCGACCAGCGCCCCCTTGGATGCTCCGACCCACCCCGAGCCTTGTCCACGGCTTTTTTTTGCCTGCACAATCACCAATCCGTCAAGACCCTCCCAATGATCACCTTGGGACAGAGCCTGTGACGCCGCTCAGGCCTTCTGTGCTCTACGTCAGCAGTTACAGACAACCAGTATATAGTTGGCACCCTAGCAGGCGGACACTTAGAGTTTCTTCCCTTTGGATCCTCCCCTGCTAGGTCGGTCCCTCTGTGTATTTCCTGG